CCCCCCCACCCTCCTCTCAAACCTCTTCCAGATTAGAAATCCTATACAGAGAGTAAGGTCTAGCCATATTTTCAACAGTTAACCCCCCTCCTCTCAAACCTCTTCCAGATTAGAAATCCTATACAGAGATTAAGGTTTAGCCATATTTTCAACAGTTACCCCCCCACCTCTCAAACCTCTTCCAGATTAGAAATCCTGTACAGAGAGTAAGGTTTAGCCATATTTTCAACAAGGGAAATTTAGCGTCATAATACATATTGTCAGGATTTAGTTAAAATGAAGATAATTTTAATTAATTCAGAAAATTGGGAGAGGAGTTTATTTTTAATATAAGGGGAGGTTGATTTTTAGACTGGCTGAAAACGGGTACTTCAAAAAATGTTAACACAAATATTTTTGTTAAAAAGATTTGTGTTCATTAGGTCTAATTTGATATGATTTAGGTATACTGCCTGTTCTTGGGCCTAATCAGCTCCACTGGTTAGATACTCAGGTTTGTAGATAATTGAATCCATACAGATTCATAGTACATAGATACTTGAATCCATACAGATTTATAGTTCATAGATACTTGAATCCATACATATTCATAGTTCATAGATACTTGAATCCATACAGATTCATATAACATAGATACTTGAATCCATACAGATTCATAGTACACAGATACTTCAATCCATACAGATTCATAGTAAAAAAATACTTGAATCCTACTTGAATCCATACAGATTCATAGTCGATAGATACTTGAATCCATACAGATTCATAGTACATAGATACTTGAATCCATACAGATTCATAGTACACAGATACTTCAATCCATACAAATTCATAGTAAAAAAATACTTGAATCCATACAGATTCATAGTACATAGATACTTAAATCCAAACAGATTCAAAGTACATAGCTACTTGAATCCATACAGATTCATAGTTTACAGATATATAATCCATATAGATTCATAGTTCATAAATACTTTAATCCCCAGTAAATAGGTATTCATAGTTCATAGATATTTGACATTAACCCCAAAAATCAATTTTATCCCTTAAAGCTAACAAATTTTCCTTAATTGTTTTCTTTCTTCTTTTCTTCTTATTTTTATTGATTTACAATCTTTACTGTATATACTGTAAATAATATTAATTATATACAAAAAGAAATCTATAGAATTACAACACAGCCATACCCTTTAAAGCTTTAAATGTTTAGGTTCCTGGATCTAATCCAGGCCTTCATTACAAATGTCCTCCTGGCTGCTCAGGAAAATAGTTGTTCAGAAAAAATCTCAAGTTCTAAATTTTAATGAACTTTTTGGAAATGGAAATGTTTTAATTATACTAATAACCTTCTTACTGAGCAGTGCTTAGGATCCATATTATTTTTATGTGGATCCGGATCCGGATCCTGGATCTGCACTGAAAAAAATGGATTCGGATCCGGATCCAGGTCATCTTTAGGAATTTTTTTAATAAAGCCGAATTTTCAAATTTGTTACACTAAAACTTGATGAACCATTCAGAAGTCAGGAAATTTTTATAATCTCTCTTTTTTCAATAGTTCAGATTTGGGTTTTGAGAGTATAAAAGGTTTTTTGCAGTTTTTTGTAGATATTTTGCCCTTGGGTTTGGATCTTTTGATCCGGATCCGGATCCTAAGCACTGCTACTGGGGCACATTTCGTTGTTTGAAAACAAAATAGTAAAGAATTATATTCCTGAAATCTGAACAAAGATTGGTCTAGACCCCCTTCAGATTGTCCCCCCTCACCTTATTTATAAAATATTTGGTCTACTTGACCCATTCTCTCTTGCAGCTGCCTCTAGAGTCAGGTATACAATATTATTACAGGGTGTTCAAATAAACATGAGATTTAACATTGAGTTTTTCCATACGTATGGATTTTGAAGACACTCCAGAAATAGTCTTTAAATGTCTTGATAATTGTCGTAACAAATCTATACATTATTTTTACTTAAGAATAGTATTTATTGAGATATTGTTCTTTGCATGGGTTTCAAGTTTCAACTTTCATTAACATTCATATGCGTTGAGATAATTTGTTTTGTTGTGCTTTCATCCTAGGGAAGGTAGGAAAAGAAGTCCAATTGCTTCCCCCCCCCCCCTTCCATTCCTCACGTTCTCACAAACGCTCTCAATTTTTATCCCCACAAAGTCTTTAATTATATTTCATATAATTATTATTTCCAAAAATCCGTAAAATTGGACGCCATATTATCCAAAATCTTTTATAACTGACTGGTAACCACATTTTTTTAAGTTGGGTGTGGCACCACTATTCTGTGGCTCCAAGTTTGTGGAAGAATCTCTGCTCCCAAGCTCCCTGGAAACTATCAAGAAAAGGGAGCAACACTCAAATACAACGCTTCGGGTAAACTGGTTTGTCTTCTAAAGGGAATGTTTACTAATCAGAACAAATACATTATACAACAATTTTCGAAATCAAGAACACTTGGATCACTCAAAGATGTTCTTGGACATGCATTATCACACTTCTTTATGTTTAACCCTTTCGCTCTGAGGGAAAGACGGGAAGCCATTTTTGGCTTTTTAAGCATAGTAATGAAACTTTACTACTTTTCTAGAACCTATTGTAGACTTTAAAAATATATTTTTTAATGTATTATTTTTTTAATCATATTAGAGGCAGGATTTTTCCTATTTCTATTTTTAAGAAGCTCTCGGCTTTCTAGTGCCAAGCCAAAAATGGTCTCTTGGTGCAAAAGGGTTAACACACTTGTTTTTGAACAGATGAGCAATCCCTTTATTTTGCTAATCAATCACGAATAACTGATGGAATCAATAATTCGTGATATTTTTGAAGTCATTAAATTTTTCTCCTATCTTTCAAATCTCGATTAGTACTTTGTATAATGTATTTTCATCTCAAAAGAAAACATTCTACGAATCAGGTTTAATAAATATAGAAGTGGATGATTTTTCCGCTATTTCCGAGGAGAAATTTTTGATAAATAAAAAATTACCACTTAGTTTTTTCTGTAATCTGTTTCTGAAAACAATCTTAAAAAATATATCATAATATGAGAACTTTACTTTTTTTCAAAATGTCCATTCTTTCCTAACAAGCAAATCAAAAGCATTATTTTTGATATTTATTTAAATTTATTATTCAGTAATCAACTAATTAAAAGGTCATACGTTTTAAATTTATCAAAAAAATTTGACGGGCGGATACAGGGGGGCCGCAGGACCTTTGCACCCCCTTGAGATTTCAGAATAGCTTCTCAATAGCACTTAAGAGAAAGAAAACCTAGTGCAAAACAGAAAAAAATATCTATCTTAAAAAATATTTGTCTGTGCCGCGTCTTTTGGTTCCTAAATCTGGATTTTTTTGTTCAGAAATAACTCTAGCACTCCCCTCACTTAAATCCTGTATCCACCCCCTGATTTTTGTTAAGGGTTTCAAAGGAAGAGTCTCGAACCGCTTAATACCGTCTATTAATTCGTTTTGCTTCATCTTCAGCATATTTTTACGACTTTTACTTTGAATTCAGTCACCGATATTTTGATTCTTTTAAATCATTTATCATAAATTTGAATCTATAAATTCTAAATCCTAAATCTGAACTTATTTATACAGTGGTGAACCTGACTGGAGATGTATATTTGTTGAACGATATAAACTAAGAAGATCCTGGCTAGCCGGTCAGTGTCACGTCAGAACATTCCAGGTATAGAGGTCAGATATCTGGTTTAGAGTTCAGTTATTTGGTGTCACGTTAGAACATTCCAGGTATGGAGGTCAGATATCTGGTTTAGAGGTCAGTTATTTGGTGTCACGTCAGAACATTCCAGGTATAGAGGTCAGATATCTGGTTTAGAGTTCAGTTATTTGAAGTCAAGTCAGAACATTCCAGGTATAGAGGTCAGATTCAAGGGGTAGAGGTCAGATTCAAGGTGTTGAGGTCATATATCTGGTGTAGAGGTCAAATATCTGGATATAGGAGGTCAGATTAAAGGTATGGCGTTCAGAAATAACGTATAAAGTTCAGATTCAATGTATATAGTTTAGATTTAAGGTATGGGGGTCATATTAAAAATTGAAGGTCGTATTAAAGGTTATAGGTCAGATTTGCGCAAGGTATAGAGGTACGATTTAAGGTATAGAGATCTGGTGTAAAGTATAGAGGTCACTTTTTTCAAGGTCATTTCCAGCTATGGTAAAGGACACAGGACGGATTCTTTATTTAATGCAATTGTATTTGACACTTCCATTTTAGAGTGCATCCGAACAAGCTCGCATCACTTTCTGAAAACCTGTCATTTTATTTCTCGTTTTTTATAATCTCTCTTTTTTCAATAGTTCAGATTTGGGTTTTGAGAGTATAAAAGGTTTTTTGCAGTTTTTTGTAGATATTTTGCCCTTGGGTTAAATATAAATGAATAAAAAATATTATAAATACATTAATAAGTAAATAAATAACCACCAACCAGGCAAACATTACCTTGTGGAAATCAGAGCAAAGTCCTTATAAAAACCTACCCTAATGGTGGATATTAAGGTAAAAAGCGGTACAGAAAAACAATAAAGAAGCTTTCAAGGATATTTATAATTTCAGTACAATACAATTCACCACAGTAAGGCTTTGATCATAAAAATGTTTAACTTTAAATGATGTATTGGGGAAATTATTAATGACAATTTCGTTTTAGTCTTAACTTTAATTCAACCTAAGTCGGAAAGTTACGATTGACTAAATATCATCGTTCTTATTGGCCGAAATAATCCTGAGAATATTGGTTCTTTGACGATTTAAGTTTTAAAAGTGTACAGACTTTTATGTCTCTTTCGGACTTTAACTGGACATGAGTGTGATATTCTGCTTAGAAAGTGTTAAATTCTGATAATTTCTCCATTGTTCTGATTCTGAAGCAAAAAATGCGCAAGTCAGTTTTGCGTAGAGATTCCAAATGAAGATCATCCCTTAAACAGATTTTAAAAACAAAAGCATGCAAAACGTTTAAGGATACTGTGTAAATCGTAAATGCCATTTTATAAATAGAGGGGCAGTTGAAATTTCGTTAACAGTCCCTTGAAACATTTATTTTCCAACATGAAGAATTATTCTACTGTACGAGGAAATAATATGTTTCATAACTTCAAGGATTAGAAATAGTTTACAACTATTTCATTTTCCCGGGGGGTTAATTGTGTGTTTGTGTGGAGTGTGAGTTTTTGTAAATATATTTATGGCTTCACTATGCTTAACTTTTGTCCATACTAACTTGTTGGGAAGGACCTGTGGGACTTCTCACTATAGTTTTCGTCATTCGCTTTGTATTTTCTTTTTCTAGATATTTGCCAGTTGTTTTGAAGGAATTGGTTGTCTGTTGGAAATAATAAATTTCCAGCTGTCAGAAACATAGAAGGAGAATTATTATTATTTTGCGAGATGTAACTCAAGTTTATCTGTTTAAGATAGATCCTACATTTCTAGTGTTTCCTAGACTACACGAGTAATAATATGATATGTAAAATATAAGTTAAATATGAATTATTTAGATATCTATGTTTTTGTTTCTTTAAACTGTTAGTTTTCATTTGCGGTTTTTCTAAAGTAACTTACTCATTTCTTGTTTTATCTTGTTTAAATCTGTCATTGCCGTCTTTGCTTGGAGGTTAACAGTTACGCTTGCAGTCCCATTAACTAAACTGAATTGAATTGAGTATAGAAGAATTAAACAGATATTACCTGAACAGAGTTGAACAGAGTTGAACAGAATTAACAGAAATTACCTAAATGGGACCTGATTTAAATGATATGAATAGAGTTTAACAGAGTTGAACAGAGTTGAACAGAGTTGAACAGAGTTGAGCAGAGTTGAGCAGAGTTGAGCAGAGTTGAGCAGAGTTGAGCAGAGTTGAGCAGAGTTGAGCAGAGTTGAGCAGAGTTGAGCAGAGTTGAGCAGAGTTGAACAGAGTTGAACAGAGTTGAACAGAGTTGAACAGAGTTGAACAGAGTTGAACAGAGTTGAACTGAAATGAACCGAAATGAACCGAATTTAACACAGTTTAATAGAGTAGAACTGAAAAACTAACTTGGACGTAAGGTAGACGATATAGAAGGATCTGGACTGAATCTAACCGAAATGGATCAAATTAGACGGAATTTTCATCTAGGTCTGGAATACCAAGACGAACTCTCCGTGGTCTGTGATGACCCTGACCGGTCACTCAGGGGAGGTCAGGTGTCTTCATCTTCAGGAAAATAAGGTTTGGAAAACAATATTTTTAGATTTTTGATTTTCTATTCGAACTCGTTTATTTTTCTCGAATTTCCATGAAGATAATGGAAACTGAAATCATCATTAAATTTTATTTAAATTGATTTTCTTCAGAAAAAATCTTCAAAGAAAATTAATATATGGATTTATCAGGCATATTTCTATATTTCGATTTTTATTTTCAGCTGGTCAGTGGCTCAACAGATCTTACAATAAAGGAAATCATCCGTCCTTCTAGATCTTTACACCCATTAAATCTCACAAATTATTAAACCCATCTTTGAACACAGACCACTTCTTTTAATTAAAATTAATCTAAATACTTAGATTTAGAACTATCCTCCCTCCCTGGACGTAATTTAATTAATTTTAGGGAGTGCTGAATTGCCTACGCTAATTTAAATTCTAATCAACGATTCAATTTTATCCTAATAACTTTTAATCAATGGTTCAAATTTGAACCGCGCGGCAGTTGGTAGTTCAGTCACGTAGCTCAAATTCATCAAATTCGGTCCCCTGTTATAGTAATATTGTATGTACAATACACAGCAAACTGTACAGATGAAAATGATATTTTAAGCAAACAACATTTCTTCCTGCATTGAAACAAAACTCCTACTCGTCCAGTGAACAAAAGGATAACTATACAAAGTTGTAATATCTGTGTGTCTGTCTGTTTGTTTTTCAAATCATAACTCAGGAACCCCTTGACTGATTTGCCTCAAATTTGGGAAGTCACGGAAATGTTCTTAGTTTAATTGTGAGATTCTTAGATAAGTGGGTCGACTTTAACAGGGAAAAATAGCTAAAATCGTAATTTGCGACGACAAGGAGCGTGTAAACGGTGGGAATAACTATGACTTTCCTGGTCCACGTCGGGTTCCCAAGCTAGTTAAATATAAAACTTAACATTATGTACAGATTTTCTTGAAATTTGAAAAATTATAACTTAAATTGTCGGGCGCGGTAAATTATAAGTTTTACTCCACATTCTCCTTAATTTGCCATCCTTTCCACTTTGACTTATTTAATTTATTACTTTATTCTGAGCTAGGGTTTAGATTGATGGATTGGTTAGGTTTGGGATCTTGATACTCATCAGGACTGGAGTAGTATAGCCTGCAGGGTCACCATGGTCGGACACACTGATACAGTCAGGTCAACTGTTTACTTTAGATATTCTGTCAACTGTATCATCATCATCTTCATCATACCAACTCTATCATCTGAATCATATTCTCTTTCATCATCATCTGTATTTTCTTCTGTGTCTTCATCTGTATTATCATCATCATCATTTGTAGCGTCTTCTGTAATATCTTCTGCATTATTAATCATTATCTTCTGTGTCATCATCATCTGTACCCTCATAATCTGTATTTTGTATCATTATCAATATTCATTTAGTCTTGTATTTATTTATATTATAATTAGGTGTGTTCAGATGGATTTAAAAAAGAATTTAGTCATCTCTGGTTCTTATGACACCACTCTTAAGGTTAGTTTTGTAAATTTTAGTCTTATTTTCTAAAGCTAGATAAAGTTCTGTTCTAAATAAATATATTTCTACTCTAATTGATCGACCAAAGGTTTTCCAATGTTTATCCTTGTTTACTCTTCTGTTTTGTACTTTGAGTGGAACATTCCTTTGAATTTTGTGAAATGGATTACAGATTACAGAACTACAGACTACAGAACTACAGACTACAGAACTACAGACTACAGAACTACAGACTACAGACTACAGACTACAGAACTACAGACTAGAGAACGCCAAAATTTCTGCATTCTTAATTTTTGCCATTCCCTTTTTAAAGAAACTAAAAACTTTTTTGTCATCTTTATATCTTTGCAATCTTATGTTGTTGACATTTAATATATAAAAATCGTCCATATCAAATGATTGCAAAGATTTAGGGACTAGAAAACTAGAGTTTGAGGTTGGTAATCAATATTTAGTTGAATTTTGCCACCCCAGTAATAATAATAACAATAATAATAATGATAATAATGAATTTATATTTATTTAGTAAAAAAATAATGTTTTTACAATGAAGGTGAGGACTTAAAGGTCTGAGACCGTGATGAATTTAGCCCTGGAACATTTTAAATTTTAACAAATATATTATATAGTAATGCAATAACGTTTAAATTTTTAGTAACATTCATTTCTGAACATAAGGATTTTTTTCTCACTTTTTTGGGGGTTAGAAAGATAGGTATCAGAAAATAATTGCTAATAACATCTATATTTCTTATTTGATTACCCTAGGTCTGGAACCTGCAATCAGGAGTATGTCTGAACACCCTCAGAGGGCATAGTGGACCCGTCCTAGCCATACAGGCACAGAGGACCCAGAACCAGGGTCCCTGGACCAACTCTGGGTCTACAGAGGGTCCAGGGTCCGGAACACGACTTATTTCCGGCTCCGCAGATAAAACAGTCAGGGTAAGAAAAAACTCTTTTTTTATGAAACATAACTTTTCTGAAATCGTTAATCCAAGAGGACCTACAGAGTCGCTGTCCGATTCACAACGTTATCATGGATTTTTTGTCTGGAAAAGGATTTTGATGTTAATTTCCTTCATTTTTCCACAATACAAATCCGGAAGTCACATGTTGAAGTAAATTCAATTTGCAGAAAAACGGGGATAACTCAATCATATTTGCTCCACTAGCATCTAATTCGACCGAATATGTCGACCTCGTGGACTTAAAAATTTTCTTTACCATGGCTGCTAATATGATTAAGGGGGTCAGAATCTGATTTCAAAAAAATGGGAACAGACTTCGGGGTCCAAAAAATGCTTGAAATTTAAAAATCGCCAAAAGTTGGCAAAATATGGTTTTAATCATAAATGGTTGTTTAATGTTTATACGACCCCTCAAAAAATGTTTAAAAACCGTGAAGTCTTGAAAAACTCATGTTATTATTGATTTATCGGATAATCTAAGTTTGAATAGAGAACACATTACATGCATAGAGAATAGAATATATAGAGAGGAATTAAAAGAATCTCTCGGTATGAATTTTTTCAGTCCCTTTCAGCCTGAAAGGGAGTTCAAAGTGTACAAATCATGTAAATGTTCACAAATTATGTGTAGTACACATCATCCAGACAGAACAAACACTTGGCCGAGAGAATATCAGAAATATACGACGACGACATTTAAACATTGATTTTCTTTATTATTCCTGCGAGGTGGGGAAACCATTTTTTTAAGAGCCACTTTAAAGAAAATAAAAATAATTGATTCAGAGAATATAAATAAATAACAAATATTTTAGAACGAAATTTAGTTATAGTTTATAAATCATAACAATTTAAATGCCCTTAGATTTTTGAACTGACGAGTTCCTATATTATATATATTAGATAATATGAAAACAAAAAAGGCCAAATATACACATTGAGTAGTTTTTGTTGTACTGAAGATTTTTAATATCACAATTTCCTTACCAATCATCATTGAAACATTACATAAATTATAGATTTTATTGATTCTAATAAATAAAAAATAATAATTTTATCTTACAGTTTGTATCCAATAACTGTCAATACGGTTGAACCGATTGGACCCAACTTTTGTGTGGGACCTCACATGGCCCTAGGGAAGGTTTATGAATGAACAAAATTTAAAAAAATTGCCTCCATCAAAATTCGATTTTCATTAAATTTTTTAAAATTTTGAAAATCCACGAAACTTTTTGTTTAAATCCGCGAACTTTTTTTGTTTTGTTTTACAATGTACACAAAGAGAACATGTTCACAATTAAAAAAGAAGATGGGCGCGAAGCGCCCTAAAAGCCTATTATATATATTAGTCACAAAGAATAACAAGAAACTAATTGCATGTTAAATGTACATAGTACAACTATACTGATGGTAAAAGTAAACAAAACAGAATTTTGTAAACATTTACGTTATAAAATGACACAAATTTATATTGCAAGGGGTACTACTGTATCTTAATTTACAAATATGTATCCTCTTTGCTTCACTGGACTTATGGAATGTCGTCTTCTAAATATATTCGAGCCGAGTACATTAATGAAATGAAATGAAAGATAGATCGTGGAAGACCCCCAACATGGGACCCCCAGACCGACTCCGAGAAGGGGACTCAGTCAGGTGCTGAATCCCCGACCGATTCAATCTGGCACCCTAATCTCATTCCCCCTACTCCAAGGAAATTTAATTAAGGCAGGTACAAACCAGACGCTGTCTAGCCATACATCCTGATGGCGAAAGTGTACCCTGCAATCAAAAGTGAGGCGAGAAGCAGTAGCTACCTGGAAGTTAAAAGGGTGTCGTGATACTCTGCCAACGCTCAATGATGTTGTGGATGTGACTAGCTCGTATACGCAGCTCTGGTACTCCCGCATTATCCTCCATTAGATACTTCCTTAGTGTGGTTTTAGACCCTAATGAGTTAACTAGACATTCCGGGATATTAAATTGGTTGCGTTCATAACTAACACTCAAGCATTCGATTATGACATGGTGTTCGGTTAGTTTACACAACACTCCTTTTTTAAGACAATAAGGGCAATGCGAGAATAGTTTTCCCATTGGGTTTGGTCTTCTGTTACCCAAACCAACATCACCTACTCGGACCCTATTGAAAGTGCGCATCTCTACACTGTCATCTACATGACCCTGGAGTTTGAACCACTGGCGTGGTTGTGGCATACAGGCCAAGGAAGATAACTCTCGTTTCTGTGAGAGAATATTATTGACTGCTACACCCTTCAAGCTACTCTTCAGCAGCCTCTTGGGGCCAGCTAACCGCTGACCCCCCACCGCTTCTTTCAGAGCTTCCACCTGCCTAGCCCATGAATCTAACGGTGACCTCATTACTGAATCAAACACAGCTTTGAGGATTTTGTCGTTTTTCTTGTTCATGATATTCCAAACAAACATCCCTGTGCATAGCATAACCCTGTCTTTCATTGGCATTAGCCCAGCATCAAGAGCCCCTGCAATTCTAGCCGAGGATTTTGGAAGTTGCAGAATGAACCTAGAAATCATGTGTTGTATTCTGTCTAGGTTCTCTAATACTCCCTTCGAGAGTACCATTGACTCTGCACAGTATAGTATTGCTGGAATGGCACATCTTTCCCACAGAGCGTGAGCCACTACTGCTCTGTCTAAACCATTCCTGGATAGCCCTATCACTGCGTTTGCATATTTTTGAGCTATTGCTACCATCTTACCCTCTCGGCCTTTGATGAGGTTTCTTCCTTAGACTTGGATTTCAATACCTAGATATTTACCAACCAATACGGCCTCAACGCATGGATTGTCATCTGTCACTTTCCAGGAAGTACCTGATGGTCCTGATGTTAACATAACCGTTTTCTCAACAGCCAGTTTCATGTCCATTCCTAGGCAAAACCTATTCACTGACCTTAACATGCTTTCCATGCCTCTGCGTTTAGTCCTGGAGATCAACACTAGATCATCTGCAAAGAAAAGAGCTGAGAGTATTACTCCATCAAAATTGACTCCTTCCTTCATGGAATGTAATACTGTTCCTAGTCCAGACACATTCAAAGCAAACAGCAATGGTGAAAGTACACACCCTTGTTTAACACGTCTTCTCTATTCACTGAATCTTACGCCTTTGCGATATCGCAAAATGCGATTGAAATTGTGTGGCCTTTGCTCTTAGCCTTATGTATCGCAGCTAACAGCATGAATACACAATCCGAAGTGGAACGGCCCGATCTAAAGCCATACTGGATATTACCATAATATCCTTTTGACTCGCATATCTTATCCATTCTCCCATGCAGAACCTTTGTGATAACACTAAGCATCACACACGAAACAGTGAGTGGGCGCTTTTGTGTCACAAGAAGCAAAGGCTGTTTCTTGTCTATCAGAGTCATCTTACCCACTGAAAGTGCCTCTGGGACTTGCCCTTCTCTCAATATTTGATTGACTAGGTCTGTCATTAGGGCTACGAGTAGAGGACCAGCATATCTCAGCATTGAGACGGAGTTTCAGTTTATTTATGATTCCTGCAATCTCCTGTTCAGAGACCTTTGAACACACCTTAGTTTCATGCTGATTGGGATTGGTAGATTCTTTTATCCATTCCTTCCATCCCATTTTGTCCTTGGTGGTCAGTTCTTTAATCAACTGCTCACCCCTATGGGAGAAAATATGTGACCGTTTACCTGAGAAAATTTTTTCCAATTCCTCAAGTACTATCCTTTCGATCCTAGCCTTATCAGTAGCTTACCGTCCTTCTGTGTCAGCTACTGCAGTGAGAGAACCTGCCTTTCTTTCCACTCGTCTAACCAAGCTCCAGAATTGTTTAGCTGTTAGTCTATGGTGAATGGCCAACCTAATCTTCTTCGTTTACGCTGTTTAGCTAGCATACAAGAAAGCGCTACTCTTAATGATTTGGCTTGTACTTTCATTTTATCAAGTTTTTCAAACTTTTTGTCTTCGTATGGACCAATAAACATTCCGGACAATCTTTCCTTGTTGAGTCTCTTCACCCCCGCTTCAACCTGTTTGCATTTATCTAACAGAGCTCTCACAGATTTGTTAGTTCGGCCGCCTGGTTTCCTTAGTGTAATCTGACTACAGGCTTTTTTAAAAGCATTCAACAAAGCTTTCTGTAAGATTAAACACTTTTCCTGCGTGGATAGACTATCCCAGTTATCTAGATTTATTTCGGTTTCAAACACAGTCTTGAAACTATCTGCTGACGAGACAACTGGACCTCTGATAAACTCTTCTTTATCAAGATTGACATCATGATTCTGCAAATTCCTTGGTATTCTCACCCTAAAGAACAGTGCAGCATGATCACTTCCACCCAAAACATCATTGTATTCATCAATCTCAAGCTTGTCTACCAGTTGATCAGCATTGTTTTCAAGCACCAAGTCTGTGTGAGAAGATACATTATGTTCCCTATAATATTCATTTCAATTTCGAATTTTTTAAACTGTTAAATAAACTTTATAATGAATTAGGTGAATAAAAACATCATTTGATTTATGTAGTTATTACGGAAAATCATCGTTTGTAAAGTGGAAGGCATAAAGTCTATGTGAAATGATCATTGGTCAATTATGAAACCAGCGTATTTCATAATTTGGCTTTCTTTTAACAATAATTTTAGATTTTCTATAAAATGATATTCCAGGGCCCAAAAGGTTATATAGCATAAATATGTGAAGTACACCTGCAGTATGGAAACAGTACAACAAAATGGCCGTTTTACACTTTTTTCTAGTAAATTCCTCTCTATATATTCTATTCTCTATGATTACATGTCACAGAGCACTATGCGATCATAATCATTGTGAGAGTAAAAATGTATATGGGAAGGGATATATATATTTTAAATAAAGTAATAAGGAAATTTCTACAAAAGGAGAAGTTAAAAAGATAATCGTATAAAAGAAAGATTTGTATTTAGACCAAATTATATATTAGGAAGACGTATGTATAAAATGCATCAGAGATAAGAATTTGAAGATAAAAGGATAAGAATAGAATAAAAAAATGTAAACAAGTTATGAATAGGGATCAGGGATTAAGGGAAAGAAATAGTGAAAGGTAGAAACAAGAAAAAGAGTCAAAAAACATCGAGATAAAAGAAAAAAAATGAAAGACATAAACAAGAAGGTGTAAAAAGGATAAAGAGATAAAAGAAAAATAGAAATGAGTTGACTAGTGAGTAAAATTTATGATAATATTTAAAGAGACATCTATATCGTAAGAATTATTATTAAAATAACGATAGAGATAAAGTATTGTTAAATACATTTATGTTTTTTCATGGTCATATGTATATTTTAATCTCAGTTATGTCTTCCCTCTCTCTTTAAATACTTTTACTATTAATTGTTGTTAATCTGATTCCAAAACTTTATATGATCACGCGACGCCGCGCGCAGTAACATTTTCCGGAGAATCATGATCAATTGATAGAAAATGATAAGACTGCAAGGTTAAATATTTAACTTGTCAATTTCAATGAGTTCAATATTTAAGCTTTAGCTTAAACTTAAGGTTTAGTTGAAGTCACGAGCGGCATTTAAGCTGAAATTTGACATTTAATTCTTAACTTTTCATTGTTTAGTTTTGGACTTTGGTCTCCTGTAATCTTTTTCTAATATTTTTATTTTCTGAACCAACAACTTCTTTTTTGAAATCTCTAAATTCACCTTTATTTTCTTCTTAATTCTTTTTTTATTTCCTTCCATAGAAATGTTTATCTTTAATTTCTACTTTTAATTGTCCACTATTATTTTTCTTTCCTTTATTTTTGTTATATTTGTTTATAACTATTTATATCATTGGCTATAAAGCAATCTATTTTCAACTAATATTAAAATAAAAATGTTAAAATAAAAATTCTGATCACGGAATAGATATTTATTTTATATATCGTCAATAACTCTTTCAGCATAAGACTTGCACAAAAAACAGAATTTTAAGACCCTAAATATTTTAGCATGATTTGGGGCATTCCAGAACTTGTGTGTTAAAATTTATGCTAAATCGGATTCTGACTCCCTTAACCAATATACAAGTCATGGCAAAGAAAATATTAGGCACACAAAGTCGATTTGAAGTACAGTGGCTCTTTAAATACACTGTCACTTGAAATTACTTCGTCACACTTCCTTTAAATATGTCAAAAATCATCCAATAGTCCAAAAATTCAAAAATCAGATATATTATTTTTATTTTCTCTAATTAGTAATTATTAAAATGAAAAGCTAGGTTTATTTTTAAATAATCACATTTGTAAACGCTTGGCATAACTTTTACTAAATCTTATTGACATGAAACTGTGTTATTGCAACCTAAAAATCTAATTGACATGAAACTGTGTTATTGCAACCTAAAAATCTAATTGACATGAAACTGTATTCTTGAAACCTAAAAATCTTATTGACATGAAACTGTGTTATTGCAACCTAAAAATCTAATTGACATGAAACTGTGTTCTTGAAACCTAAAAATCTTATTGACATGATTATTGCAACCTAAAAATGTACCTTAAATTCATTACAGCTAATATGGTTTCATATGAATTTCTTTCTACAGTAAAATCTGGTAGAATTAATTTAGTAATAGTTCCGATCTATTACGAATATTATAAGGTGTTAAAAGAATATATTTCATTAATCTCTGACGACTAACCCTTCAAGTTTCTTTGTGTTGCATTCTTTTCTCTTCACTAAAAGGGTTTCAATTGTGTTCTTCATATTTTTATTGGTTTTCTCAAGAATATCACAAATATTTGCAGAGTTGCAAAAATGTTCTACATTTTCTTAAGATCAATATGAAATATGTATTGCAAAATTTTTTAGAAATTTATCCTTCCTAAACTTTGTTTTTGAGAGTTACCCAAGAATTTCCATTCATCATGAGTTTTCATTTATAATTTTTAAGTTTTCAACTAAAGGGAATGTTTACTGATTTCATGTTACCCTTTATTAAGAGAGGTACATTTAATTGTCCATTTTACCTAGAAACCTTAACTGGGAAGTAGAATTCTCGTCTTTGCGGTATAAACGGCAATACAAGTTTTTCTTCAGAGAGGATAAAGATATCTCCATCAATTTTGATAAAACAAAAGTTTAAATAGTACAATTGTAAAATGCAACTCTCGGTAATTGTCTAGTATACGATTTTTGGACCCCCCCCCCCCCCTCCTATCAATTTTGTACATGAGTAAATTAGTATTTATTTATTATTAT